CCTCAATGTCTACCGACGGGATGCCAAACACCACAAGGTACTCACGCTGGGCCCACGTGTCCACAACACTGCGTGGAATGTAGCGGAGGGTCTCATCCATTGTGTTATCATCCACTCTCTCAAATGACACCCCAAAATGCCCATCCGCAGTCCACTGATCATGCAGAGTAACAGTCATGAAAAAAACATAGATAACGGCTACACACGCTATTAGTACGAAGAGCGCGAGGGCACGCCGCAGCAGGCCAACGGGTGCACGAGTCCTTCTCCGATCCTTAAAATACATTGCCTTCCCATTCAACCAAAAAGAAGAAGAGTAGAAAAAACACCAGTAGTTAGACACCACATGCACCACAAAACCATACAAGACCATAAACAAACACGAGAAATACAATCACCAGAGTACTCGAACAAAAAAGGAGGGTTATTGTTGTGAAGCAAGTATATAATGGGTATAATATAGCAAGAATACAAGTATAAAAACGGACACTTTATATGCATCTCCGTCTACATTTATTACAATATGAAAGAATGAAGAAACGAGCACACCCCAAATGAAAAAAGCAAAGCAACTAAGAAAAATCAAAGAAGTTCCTCTTAACCATTACAAGGAAAATCAATGAAGCATCTGCTGGGGCGCCTGAACCTGCGAGGGGAGGGAGAAGTATCGTTTCCAAACCGCTCCATCAGCTCAGCATACTCACTCTCCCATAGGTGATGGATCACCACAGACTGCGACGTTACCGGGTTGACACGATGGCCCACATGAACATCATGGAAATGACAGGGCTTTTCACGGGCGTAGAGGAGGTGTTGGTACTTGATTTGCGTCAGCACCCGTCCCACCATAACGTCTTCATGGTGCATGTAAAAATATACAAAATCATTTATCCGATTAAAAGAAGGACGGTACATAAAACTCCGTACTGGTTCGCAAGACACAACCTGTTCCACAGCATCCCTCGCAAGAGTCGCGCAAAACCCAGTAACATACCGCACAATACCTTTCCTAGAGCGCTTAAAAAGCCCCCAATACAGCCCACGGCGGGGCAGGGTGCGCAGGTCAGCAAGGTACTGCGGCACACGCAAAAACATATCGTCGTCGCCCTTTGCCAGATAACTAGCGTTGGGGAACAGTTGGACGGCATGGTGGAACCACATGAACGTCTTGCGGCTCATGCCAAACTCAGCCTCCAAGCCCCAAAAACCATCACCTCCAACTGCTCTAGTTGAATTAGGTATTCCCTCATGTATGGGCAGCGTGAGCAGATCATGCCACTCCGATGCCTCCTCCTGAACTCCAGCAGAGTAGTTATAGCCGTGAGACGGGTGGCGTGATAGCACATACAGCACCAGCATCTCACCAGTGAAGTTGTTTGACTTCGTGGCAACACCGGGGAAGCGCCAGCACGTGGTCCGCTGCAGGTAGCGCCGCCTCCGCCGTGCCTCAATGTCTACCGACGGGATGCCAAACACCACAAGGTACTCACGCTGGGCCCACGTGTCCACAACACTGCGTGGAATGTAGCGGAGGGTCTCAGTCATTGTGTGACCATCCACTCTCTCAAAGGACACACCAAAATGTCCATCCTCAGTCCCCTGATCATGCAGAGTAACACTCATAAAATAAACATAGATAACGGCTACACACGCTAGTAGGATAACGAGAAGGAGGGCAAGGCGAAGCAGGCCACCGCGTCCCCGAGTCTTTCTCCGATCCTTAAAATACATTGCCTTCCCATTCCACCAAAAAGAAGAAGAGTAGAAAAAACACCAGTAGTTAGACACCACATGCACCACAAAACCATACAAGACCACAAACAAACACGAGAAATACAATCACCAGAGTACTCGAACAAAAAAGGGAGGTTATTGTTATGATACAAGTATATATTGGATAAACAAGTATATAATGGATAAACAAGTATAAAATGGGTATAATATAGCAAGAGTATATGTAAGATAAACAAAATATAGCAATCATTATGTAATAATTTCACTCATTTAGATATAATGAAATAAAGCACAAATGTAATCACCAAACCTCAATCTTTTGTTTTACGTATTACAAGGAAATCCAATGAAGCATCTGCTGGGGCGCCTAAACTTGCGGGGGGAGGGAGAAGTATCGTTTCCAAACCGCTCCATCATCTCAGCATACTCACTCTCCCATAGGTGATGGATCACCACAGAGTTAGAAGTCAAGGGTTCCACCTGGAACCCTTCATGTAAATCGTGAAAGCTGCAGGTTTGTTCACGCGCAAAAACAACTGGATATTGCATGTCATACAATGCACGCCCCACCATCATATCTTCGTGATCCATAGTAAGGTAATAAAACTGCATAGGATCAGCATTCTGTGGACGATAGACAGTACGTCGCAGCGGCTCGTACGACACAACATGTTCCGCAACATCCCTCCCAAGAGTCGCGCAAAACCCAGTAATATAACGAAATAGAACACGGCCACCTTCTCGAAATCCTCTCTTTTCCCTAAGCAGACCCCAATACAGCCCATGGCGGGGAAGGGTGCGCAGGTCAGCAAGGTACTGCGGCACACGCAAAAACATATCGTCGTCGCCCTTTGCCAGATAACTAGCGTTGGGGAACAGTTGGACAGCATGGTGGAACCACATGAACGTCTTGCGGCTCATGCCAACCTCAGCCTCAATGCCCCAAAAACCATGACCTCCAACTGTTTTATTTGTTGTCACTCTTCCCTCGCCAAGGTACAACGTGAGCAGATCATGCCACTCCGATGCCTCCTCCTGAACTCCAGCAGAGTAGTTATAGCCGTGAGACGGGTGGCGTGCAAGCACATACAGCACCAGCATCTCACCAGTGAAGTTGTTTGACTTCGTGGCAACACCGGGGAAGCGCCAGCACGTGGTCCGCTGCAGGTAGCGCCGCCTCCGCCGTGCCTCAAGGTCTACCGACGGGATGCCAAACACCACAAGGTACTCACGCTGGGCCCACGTGTCCACAACACTGCGTGGAATGTAGCGGAGGCTCTCTGCCATGATGTAGTCATCCACCCTCTTAAATGACACACTAAAACGTCCATCCTCAGTCCCCTGATCATGCAGAGTAACACTCATAAAATAAACATAGATAACGGCTACACACGCTATTAGTACGAA